ATGAAGTGTACATTTGCATACACGCGTATCCTGCACACGCCCGAGGCCAGTCCACCGCCCGCCTTATCTGCACCGCTCGTGGGCGTATCGTCAGATCCCGGCTACGGAGGCGAGCGAGATAACGCACGGCATCGAAAGCCGGATCAGCATCCCGGCATCCCAGTATCCCGGCATCCCGGTATCCCGGCTTCCCAGAATTCCAGTATCTCAGGATCGCGGCCAGCATTCCAGAATCTTATGACCCCAGCATTCCAACATCCCAGCATCCCGGAATTCCAGGGTTCCGGGATTCCAGCATTCCAGAATCCCAGTATCCCGGCATCCCAACATTCCAAGATTCCAGGATTAAGCATTCCAGAATCCCAGCATCCCAGTATCCCGGCATCCCAACATCCCAACATTCCAGGATTCCAGGATTCCAGCATTCCGGAATCCGAGTATCCCAGTACCTCATGATCCCAGCATCCCAAGATTCCAACATTTCGGCATCCCGGCATCCCAGTCTCTCATTATCTCTAAGATTCCAAGATTCCAGGATTCCAGCATCCCAGTATCCGCATCCCAAAATTCCATGATTCCAGAATCCCAGCAATTCCGGAATCCCAGTATCCCGGCATCCCATTATCCCGGCATCCCAACATCCCAAATTCCAACGATTCCAAGATTTACAGCATCCCCAGCCTTCCGGAATCCGAGTATCCCAGTATCTCGTGATCCCAGCATCCCAAGATTCCAGCATTTCGGCATCCCGGCATCCCTCACTCGACAGCCACCTCGCGCTTTGAACAAGAGGGAGTCGATTAGTTTTGAATTCCGTTCACTCGAAAGGAACTGTCACGTCGCTCATTTCTGAACGTTCAAAAGATCGGACGAGTGGGAAGAGAGGGACGTATGTTCAAGAAGTGTAGTGTGTGTGTGTTCTGTGCTGTGGTGTGTGTGTGTGTGGTGTGTGTGTGTGTGTGTGTGTGTGTGTGGTGTGTGTTGTGTTGTGTGTGTTTGTGTGTGTGTGTGATGTGTTTTTTGTGTGTGTGTGTGTGTGTGTTTGTGTGTATGTTGTGTGTGCGGTGTGTGTGTTTGTATGTGTGTGTGTTGTGTGTGTTGTGTGTGTGTGTGTGTGTGTTTGTTGTGTATGGGTGTGGTGTGTGTTTGTGTGTGTTTGTGTGTGTGTTTGTGTTTGAGTGTTGTGTGTGTGTGTGTGTGTGTGTGTGTGTGTGTGTATGTGTGTATGTGTGTGTGTTGTGTGTGTGTTTGAGTGTTGTGGTTTCCACTTTGGTGTAATGTTAGTGTAGGTGTTGACATATGGTGATACTTAATTCATATGTAGATATGTACACACGTACAGACCCACTTATATGGGCGTGTGTTTGTTTGTGTACGTGAGAGGGTGTGAGAAATCGTGTTTGTGTGCGTGCGTTTATATACCGTTGTGTACACAAAGTATTACTGAGTCCTATTATCTCACACAACGCATAGCGGACCCCTTCCCCCACAACCAATCCCCTCCCCACACCCACCCTCCCTACACACACGCACCCCTTCACCTCCTCCCTCTCCTCCCCTCTTTCCTCCTACCCACCCCCTCTCCCCCTCCCCCTTTACTAACACAGTCAACCCTTCACCTCCTTCCCCATCCCCCCCCCCCTTCTACACACCACCCTTCACCTTCCCCTTATCCCCCTTCCCCCTAAATCCCCCACCCTTTCCTTCCCCCTCACTCCCCTCCCCTCTACACACCACCCCAATCTACCCGCCTCCCCTCCTAAACCACACCTATGCACCTCCTTCCCCCTCCCCCAACCCCCCTCTACACACCCACCGCCCTTCACCTCCTACTGCCTCTCCCCTCCCGCCCTCCCTGCTTACACACACCACCTATCCCCCCTCTCCCCCTCCCGCCAAACCCACCCTCCTTCCTCTCTACACGCCCCCTCCCGCCTAAACACCCATCGCCCCAGCCCCCCTCACGCCTGTAACGCACCACCCTTCCACCATTACCCCTTCCCCCCCCCCTTTACACAGCAACCCTACCCCCTCCCCGCCCCCTCCCGCCTAAACCACACACCACCCCACCCCCTCTACACACCACCCATCCTAACCCCCCTCCCTCCCCGCCCCCCCTCCACGCCGCCCTAACCACACCATCGCGCCCAGCCAACGAGCAGACAAAGACATCATCAAGCGCTTCAGCATTCACAAGGCCGGGCCGAAGCGAACACAGAAGATCGAGGAAAGACGCTTCTCCCTCCACTCACCCCGACTGACTGGCGTCTCTGGCTTCTGAAAGGGGGGAGGGGGGATGGTGGGGGGAGGGAGGAGGGTGGTGGGAGGAGGAGGGAGGGCTGCGGGGAGGCGGAGGGTGGGAGGCAGGGGCTACAGGGAAAGGGTGACGGTGGAAGGGCCTAGCGGGAGAGGTGGGGATAGAGGGGTGGGGTGGGTGGAGGTGGAGGCTGAAAGGAGGTTGGAATAGTGGGTGGAGTAGGCGGGAGCAATGAAGGGGGGG